TATATATTATATATTTTTATACATTTTATTTAGGTATTAAACCAGACAACCAGACTTGAACTTCAGCTTCTGGAACATTCTCTTTCCACGAACAAACTAGAAAGACAGATTTCAGATCAGACCAACGAAATAACTAAATTACAAGAAAAAAACAGGTAAGTTTGCCTATCAGCCCAATAAAATGCTATTACCTGAATAAACGCTGAATCTCTGAATAAAATGCTATTCCCTGAAGTGCCCTTCTAATTTGGTTTAAAAACAAGTGTACTCAAGTAAGGCCTTGTACAGAAGCTCCCCACACCCAGATACTCTCATTACAAAGGCCAGACATGATTTGAGGCTCAGAGAGTCCTGCAGGTTTATTCTTCTGTGTTCTGTTTATATATCATTCTTCACCATCCTCCTTTACATGAGGAACTTAGTACTGAGTATGGTGAAGTATTTCAGTTTTAACCAATTTATGTTCTTCTTTACACTTAATCAGATGAAGTTACCTGACTCAAATTAATCCAGTGCAACTACATCTCTAAAATTTTATTTCCATGTAATACACAGATATCGTAATATACAATTAGGCCACTGCCACAATTTTTTTCTGCTCTAGTGACAAAATTCACATGCTACTCATATTCAACATTCCTTACTAGTCAGTCTTTTGAAATTCAGACCAATATCCAACTATTACTCTTACTCATTTTTGTACTCAGCTGTTGTCCAAAGGCTCATACCTTTTTTCAGCTAGTTTTATTATCATATCACCAGGGCCTTATTTTACTTTTGGCAATAAATTGTTTACAGAGAAATCTAAAAGCAGCAATAACAGTAAGTTTTCTCCTTCAAAGCTGTGTTTTTCAATGAGAACCATATGTGCAAAGTGCTTTTTATTTTGAAAGAATTAGCTTAAAAAACCCAGGAGACATGTTTTGACATTTTTGTTCACTACTCAACTACATTTATATATGCTCCCTAAAGGGTTTATCTACCAGCTTAATAAAAACAAGCATCCTTATCAAATGGAAAGCAATGTAAATATTGAATTTTAAAATGTCACTTTTTTTTTGGTGTTGAATTCAGCAGACTTCAGACAACCCTTGTAAAACACACGTAAACACAAGCATTGTTTCTCACCTAACAGAAGACAATCTGACATCGAGCTAATCTGCCTGAAACACACTTATAAGGTTCAAGATATTTTCTTTTAATAACAGTAATGGATTTTAGGTGAACTTCTCCCTTCTGGCCATATATCTTTTAAGATCAGCTTTTTGCATCAGAACAATTACCAATCTAATAATATTCCAGCCAGTCACCTACTCACACCAGCTCTAGAACCGGAGATGGGTAACACAACTTTAAGTAACTGTTTCCAAAGTTCCCTGTCTTAATGCCATAACATTTATTTATGTTAAGTATGTATTTTGTTATAATTTGAAAAGTTCATAGATTCATCTTTAAATAAGTTTCATTTCTCAATAGGGCAAAACCATGAAATCTTTCACTATATCTTTCCTTTCACAACACTGAATTATCAAGCACCCAATTGTTATACTTTAAAAGCCTGTGATACAGGCTATAGTAGATAATCTTGCTTATTAATGTTTTAATGTATTAAAGCATACACATCAAACTAAACTCAGCTTTCATTTAGATTTCTACTGCATGCATCACACCAGAAAATGAAGTTGAGTGTTTATGATGAAAAACTGCAACAGGCTTGGGTTTTTTTACATCAGCTCAAAATTGTTTCCGGGAAGCCTAATCATAATCTTTTATTTAGTTTTCTAGAAAAAAGAGTTCTTGAGATGGAAGACAAGCACACACTTCAGCTGAAGTCAATAAAAGATGAAAAAGATCAGCTTCAAGTCCTAGTAGCCAGACAGAATTCTATTATAGAAGAACTAGAAAAACAGTTAGTTACAGCTACAGTAAACAACTCAGTTCTGCAAAAACAGCAACATGATCTGATGGAGACTGTTCATAACTTGCTTACTATGATATCTACACCAAACTGTAAGTAAAAGCAGACATGCTTATGTAATTTGAGTGACATTCTCTAAGTTGTATACATTGTTAGCTACAAAGTCTTACAACCAGTTTCACCACATTTCTGCTTCTCAAAAAGTGGCATTTTTTTTCCCCCCCTTAAAATCTGCATCAGAGTTAATTAACCTGGTTTTTTTCGGGGTGTGTGTGGGGAAACAACCACAACGTTTATGTGGTTTCTTTTCAACGTTTTCTTCATCTTCTGTGGTTTATGTCGGTTTGCCTGCCCACTTCTCCAGTGGTTCAACAAAATACAGAGATGCCAAGTATCATTCATCTCCCAGGGCATTCATTCATCACAGAACCACAGAATTATTCTTCTGGCAATGCACTCCCTTGACCATATATCTAGGTTAGGCTGTGTGATGTAGGCCTGTAGCTTTTCTTCCTAGCTCACACAAGCTGCTTCTGCCACCTCTCATTGCTCTATGCAAACAGGGTTGATCAAAGAAAGGACAAATTACGGTGCCTATTAAAGACAAAGGAATCAGCACTGGCCCAGTTTTTAGCACCTACGTAATGCCCCAAACAACAGAAGGAAAGCACCAGCTCAGGGCAGCAGTTACTTTGAAAGTCCTCCAGTCTTTCACTGAAGCTTCTCTATTCATACTAAAAATGCCTCAGCCTAGCAAATTTTATAGGCAATAATCTCACCCCTACATGCCTGACAGCCCTGCAACAAATCATAGCCACCAAGCAAAGCTTCCAAATTTATGCAGATTCACATGCTCCATAAAACCCCCCCACACAAACCATAAACTGAAAGTTATGGCTAAACAGGATTTAAACACAAATGAGCAAATTCCTTACCTTGAACTTCATGTCTGATATAGAACTTTGACAAATTAAGAAGGTATAGCTGTTCTATATAAAAGAGTAAAGAATCTGCCATGTTTGCCAGTAAAGTTCCCAGGGCTGGAAATACACAAGCACATAGAACCTCTAAAGAAAGGATTTAAAATTAAATACTAGAAAAATTTTAAAATACTCATTACAACTTAAAAGGCCATATAGGTAGACTAACTATATCACTGTAAGTTGGATCACAAAAAAGGAAAACGGTGTTTGGAAGTCCTTGCTTTCAGTACTGGGCTAAATAATACGATGTTGTAGGTTTTCCTGAGAAACATATATCCCATGTTTTTTATCTTAATAACTGACACTATCCCCTTAAATACCATTACCAAGGCTGTACATGTTCCTGCTGTTTTTCTATGCTAGTGCACAAATAAGTAAACAAGTCAAAGTCATGTTGGCTACAACACCGTTAAACCCAGAGTGGAAAAAATAGTGAATGTTTGCCAAAAGGACAAAATTAGCAGGGAAAGCTTCTAAGACACTATACAAACAATAGAGTGTGGAAAAGCAATTAAAACACTGAATGTGTTATTTTTATATTTAAGGCAAACCATGTAAACAGGTAAATAATGAATAAGCAAGCTAAAAAGAAGAAAATAAGCAACCGTAATATAAACATGTATTTATATGGCACCTAAAACTTTGTACTAACTGTCTGTGCTTGTTACATTAAATTAAAAGGGAAAATACACAGAACCAACCCCAAAAGGGTCAACTATGAAATATCAGTCAGGAGGCGAAATGCCAGGAAATTCCAACCTCCATAGTTAATAAAGAACTGAACAAAAAGATGAGCCTTAGATTGTTCTGTAAAGTAAGAAGTCTTAGACATATTAAAATGTATTTTTTACACAAATGAATTCCAGAAGGGATGTTTCCTTAGTGGGTTGGGCTGAGCTACCAAGCTTCAGCTTGGTACACACAAAGTTGTTTCTGCTTAGGGCAAAAAAACTAGCTAAAACTTTGTAGGAGTAGTTATTCCAGTCATTCGTATTTTAAAAGATTTCAAAAGTCTTACATTAGATTTCATAACATTAGAGTACTGGCCAAAGGTTATTATTAAGACAATAGTTAGTTAGTGCTAGTCAGATACGTTTCTAACAGTGGTTAATGGATGGAGAGGTTGTAATGCCATGTAGGAGTCCAGCAAAGGCAATGAATGGAAGCAGAAACCATTCAGCTGAATGAGATCCTATAGCCCAAGTTTTCTTATTCAACATATCAATAAGTGTTAGCATTTTCCAACCTATCAACACACTCACATCAGAGTAACGTTTCTAAATAATATAAAGTAACAACACACATAATTAATACCTTGATTTATCATTTCTTTCAGGACCAGGCATATCTTTGGAACTGCAAATTTTTAAGCTGAATATATCATCAATTGGTTCTTACTAACTTTTATTAATTTTCTCTTAATGCCTTCAATTGCTACTGTATTTTTAACAGCTAAGAACAACTTCATAGCTAAAGAGGAACAAATCAGCTTCAAAGACTGTGCTGAAGCTTTCAAATCTGGACTGACAACAAGTGGAATCTACACTTTAACAGTTCCAAACACTGTACAAGAAAAGAAGGTAGGATGGCTATAAAGTGCTACGTAGGCATGCTGTGTGTTAAAAAAATATTTGATCTGGTAAATACACTATTTTAAAGGGTAGTTAATAATGAAGTTTGTTACTCACCATGGGTTTTTATGAGCATTTCATCACTTACAAATATGAGTATCTCACAGGAAGAAGAAAGTCCTTCAGCTGAAAGCTTAGCTTAGTTCAGTTCAGCACGCCAGAACTTCATTCTTTGTTTCCACATTATTAACACAATTAAAGCAATATAGAACTGCAATTTATTTATAAAATCTCTAACTCGAACACAGTTGCTCTGCATAATCAGCAGTCTCCCGTCTCCTCTGAGCTCTTAGTTCCTTTGTATGCCCAAGTTCCTTCAAGTGGCAAAAGGAGGTAAAATCAGGGGCATGGAAGACTACTCATGGATATGTGCCCATGTAAGCAAGCGACTAGTTCTGGACTCACGTATGGGTTCCAGTTTTTCATTATGCAGAGTTTTAAGGACATTTGTGTAACAATTATGTTAGCAATTAGATCAGCACAACTGATACTGGGTAACAGATCCTGCTCTGATTTAAATAAAACATGACATTTTGCAGTGGTTTCACTAGATCAGTTTAAATCTCTCTATGGATGTTTTACCCCCTACGTGTTTAAGTGAAATGAACTTCAATGTCAATTTAAGTTAAAGTGATAAAACACCTGTAGTGAAAAGTCACTGAGCTAAAAATGGCACTCAGTGGATGAAACACTGGGTGCCCAACAGAGATGCTCCATCCACTGAAGTAAATACAATGATAAAGCTTCGGAAACAGTTGAAATAATCAAGAAAATCTGAAAGGGGGAAAAGTCAACCAAAAACTGCAGGGAGCATTCTGAAAAGGGGGGTTCAAATGATGAATGTTTGTTTCCAACTTTTCAGACACAGCAGGCTGAGGAGGCAAAGGGACATCTGAATATAAACAAAAATGCTTAATATATTTCTTAGACAAACACTAAATAATTTTCTAATGTTTTCATTTTATAATTTCACATTGTAGATATTACTTTACCAAAAAAAAACCAAAAAAACAAAAGAGTATTTTGTGGAATTCCTAAGGCTCTACTTTATTATATCCAAAATATTTGGGAAAAAAAGAATTAATGGAAAATGTACAAAAGTAGAGAAAAATGAGGGCACATGTTGAAAATCAATTGGTAAAACTTCGATGAGAAAGCATTTTTTCCCACATTTTGATAGCAAAGGTTTAGAAATTAAAGTCACCAGTGACTAGTTTTTGAAGTGCTAGAACTTCATCTAGCCCAAGCCAGACTTTCTGATCTTTACTCTCACAATGCTCTCAACTAAAGGAAGTAAGATATTTGTTAAGCTCTACAAAATACAATACATAAAGCCTGCATTTTTTTGCAGATATCATCTAGAGAAATTATAACTGCAGTGTGATTCTCCTGGGAAAAGAAAAAAAAAGAGGCTGGTTTTCTTTTGGAATAGTCTAGTCAATATTCAATATATCTACTTCACAAGAAAATTAGTTACATGAAGTGCAATAAAGTGTTTCATTACACATAAAGGAGAATGGTATTTAAATAGCATAGGTATCTATAATCACAATTTTAAACGCTAAAGGAGATGTAAGCTACTGCATCCCCAAAGTAATAGATTGCAGCAGTCTTTCTTAGACATCTCGGCAAGGGTTAAATACCTTGAATCTCCTAGTATTACTTGTCTCAAGCTTTTACCTTTGGTTTTAGTTTTACTGTCAAACATAATATACAGATTATGCATATTTTCTAAATGCAGATACAAATGCACGATATTTGTGTTATTTCTGTAATAAACTTTAACATTGCATTTTCAAAGCTGTAAATGTTTAGGAAATCTGAGAAGTCAGAATAATGCACATTTCAGCAACGCTAAAACCTACAAAAATATTCTATCCTTGAAACAATTGCAGATTTCCTAGACTATAAAATACTAAATGCTTTACATTTGAACATGGGGGCTTAAAACACTTAACAAAATTACCCATTTTGGTAACTGACTAGGTTAAAAAAAGTAGTTAAAATGTAATTTAATTAAATTAGCAATTAATCTAATAATACTAAAGAATTTCAATCTTATTCTGCCCACTTGGGATAGAATAAAAAAAAGAGACTTAAAAAGACAGTGAAGGTTTTACTTTCTTTATGACAGGAAAAGTAAGAGACCAAAATCTTTAACCTGCAGCAGATTTTTTTATACAAATAAAATGCATAAGAGGAGTTGTCAAGGGAAGTGAAGTTTTAGGGATAATCAACACGTTAAACCATTTTCAACTGTTTATGACGGGGATGGCCACTCAGATTAGGAAACAGAATGACCTTTTTTATTTGCCAAAAGTACTGCACTGCTGTTTATGTTTTCATCTTTTCCTCTTGTAACACCTTCTGACCTCCCACTAGGCTTATAAACAACTTCTGCGTAATCTGTAACTGATCCCACTTTACTAATTTGTCTCCCATCATAATCCACAACTAAAGAACTGCATACGAGAGCTGAGAGGAAAACAATTAATTCATTCCATTAATATTTTCAAGCTTTCAAGCTTTCCTGTTCTGCACCAGGACAAAAGCTAAGTCCTATTAAATGAGGAAAAACAGCAGAAGACTGCTGACACAAGGAAAAAAGGCAGAGGCAAACCCATGAGAAGTCAATCGCTTCATGTTTACACCAGTCACTTGAACCAATTAACCTCCTGGTCTTAACCAGGCAGAGTAGTTGAGTCTGGATGATCCTAATATGTTAGCTCAACCATTACCACAACTAGTATCAAAATATTACCGCAAATCTTAAAATAGTGGCTGAAGCGGTGGCTAAGCTCTTCCTCATTTCTACCCCTGCTGAGCTGAATTTTTGTCCCAACACCAACACAAATTCCAAGTCAAGGCTTTTTTAAACAAAACTTTCTTGCAGAAAGTGATTTGGGCAAATGTGAATTTACCAACAAAATGGCTATGCATAACTTCCCTAAACAATGATCATCCAGACAACTAGCTAGTCATTTCAGAGGGAGCCTAGGCCATGGACCTTATGTCTAAAATCACAGAATCACAGACTTGTTGAGGCTGGAAAAGACCTCCAAGATCATCAAGTCCAGCCTATGTCCCAACACCACCACATTGGCCAGACCAGGGCACTAAGTGCCACATCCAGCCTCTCCTTAAACACCTCCAGGGACGGTGACTCCACCACTTCCCTGGGCAGTGCATCCCAGTGCCTGAGCACCTTCTCCAGGAGGAAGTGCTGCCTGAGATCCAACCTAAACCTGCCCTGACGCAGTTTCAGGCCGTGCCCTCTCGTCCTGTCACTGGTTGCCCAGGAGAAGACCCCGACCCCCACCTGACTGCACCCTCCCTTCAGGCAGTTGTAGAGAGTGAGAAGGTCCCCCCTGAGTTTCCTCTTCTCCAGGCTGAACACCCCCAGCTCCCTCAGCCTCTCCTCACAGGACTTTCCCTCCAGTCCCTTCCCCAGCCTCCTTGCTCTCCTCTGGACCCACTCCAGCCCCTCAAGATCTTGCATATACACACATGCAAATTGCATATACACATATGCAAATATCTTGCATATACATATATGCAAATTTTGAATCCCAAGCATTAAAAAAGAACATATATGCAGCTTTTCCAATACAGGAGGTGGTCAGATGATGCATTTTTCTGTGAATTTTAGAAATCTCATCATCTGTCTTTTTCACTGATAACTGGTATTGGGTTAAATTAGATGTGTGTAGTTATTTTTCCAGAATAGGAAAACTAAGACTGCAGTTCTTATCTAGTCACATCTCTAAGAGTTAAAGATAACAGAATATAAAATCATGGAGCATCGTGACTCAAAAGTGTTCAGACAACAGACAAAAGTGATGCAAAGTGACACTGTGGCAACCGCATTGGCTTTGGTATAAAAGCTGTGGTGAACTTTCATCCTGGCAACTCAACCAGTGACTTACCATGCAGAAAATGGGGCTAAACACTTACACCCCAAATATCCTAATGTATAAGAAAAAAAGAAGAAAAATTACTTGCTCTGAAAGTCAATTTCCTAAACAGTGAAATCATCAGTGACTGCTCACAGCTTAAGCGCTTATCATTTTTGGGAAGGGGGACTACTTCTGGTTACACATACATCACAGCATTTTCAAAAATACTGCACTGATCTTTAGCTGAAGGTGAAAAATAGGAACAGCTGACCTGAGCTCTCACAGGGCTACAGCTGCTAGAACTGTAAGTACTGAAGCAGTTCACAAGATAAATCAAATATTCCCCCTGCCAATTTGTTGTAATCTGAGAGGCTAATCTCTTTATTCTTTTTGGCATCTGTTGGAAGACTGCTGCTGCCTGCCTAATCTTGGTATCTATTTTTACAAAATGTTACATTTCTTCCTTTTGAATATAAAACCTAGGCTAGGCCAAAAGGTCAGAAGAGTTCTGTTCTTATAATGACTGTTTAAGAAACCCTCATATGCATATAATATTGCTAGAAAATGAGGTGTTTTTTTTTTTTATAAAGAAGACATAGTCCAAATACATGCTTCTTCTCTCATCTTTCAGATAAATCATGAAGAAGCAAATTCTTGTTTTTATTTTAAGCTAAGCATATCCTTTCCTTAATTTTCATTTTACTGAACAGCCTATCACCAGCCTTAAAGTTACTTATGAATATACATAATTTGTTTGGGTTTTTTTTGGTAAAAATTAAAAAAAAAATTTTAAAAAATTACTTTTATTTCTGTAATCTTTACTGCCATTTTTCTTCATTGTTTCCCCCCAAATTAAAAATCAAGTGTGTATGTAAATTTGAAGTTCCTCGTTTTACAGTATTTTCACCTTGTTTAGTCAGATAATCAATTTCCAGGGAAATAATCTGGAAAGCAAAGGAAATAATCTGGAAAGAAATTGATTTAATGAGCAAAGCCGCATGTGTGAGAGCTTGAAAGACAGGGTTCTGGTTTGCCAGTAAAGCCTGAAAGCAGAACATTTCACTGTGTAATGCTTACTAAATAGGTGATGAAAAGAATTTTCACTTTTTAGCTAGCTCAAGGGAGCAAGCATGCAACCATGAAGTACAGCAGTTTGAAACCATACAGTGAAAACTCAAAATGCAACAATCCTCTCATCTTTTAAAAGAGTTACATCATCTCTTTCTAATGTCACAGTAACCAGTACATTCCTTTTGCCTGGGCCACACTTTTCAGCCAAGGAAGGAAAATATTTCTCCTTCCAAGGCCATAAAACTGGTGTGTTTTAGAAGCCCTTATGGAGGACTGACATGAAATGTTTTGGTGTGGAAAAATTATACTCCCAAATTAACAGATAGTTTAGAAAACTGTTACTGAAAAGAAAATTCTACGTGAGATTTTTGTGGACTTCTCTTCTTAAATTTCTGATTATATGTTTAAGTTCCTACTAAATTAGTTCTCCATTTGGGAACATATTTGCAGTGCCCCAGCATTTATCGCAAAGAATGTAGTGTCTATAGAAGCTAGTTGTCTTACCATTCATGTACCAAATGGATACTGGTTGTAACAGCAATATTTTATGTAAGACATTCATAGTCATTCACTGCTTGAGAACATTCAAAACCAACAATTAAGACCTACAATAGCAACGTCAGACTGGACCAGTGGCCAGTGAAAATTAATACGCAGCCTCCCTCTGTAAGTAGCTAAGAACTACATGTTGCAGAGAGGGGTGAAAGTCCTATTCTCAGTCTGCCTGCTTATACTGTCCTTTCCATGGGGTGAGGCTTCAGAGTCAACAACTTTCTCTACAACCAGTTATGTCTGAGCACTGTTAAATGAGCATTTTAACTTGTAGTGATCTGCATCTGCTTTAGACCCTCTCTAGTATCCCTCTTCATAGCCTATATATTTCATATATGCATTACACATCATGTAAGTTAGCTTTCTAAAACAGATTGATCATCTCTTACAATGCTTTATCTTCAGCCTTTCCTTTGCAACATAATTTTTATTTTTACTAAATTTAATTTATATCCTAATACCAAATCTTTACCAGTCACTAAATACAGAGGTCAGTAAAAACAAACAAAAAACAGATTTTGAGGTGCAAGGAATTACATACAACAGTACAAATTAAAGTTGCTGCTTCCAATTAAATTCCATTCACATTACATACTTGAACAAGCAATCCCAAATTCAACTCTTTTCCTTATTTCTTTTACCCTTCCCAAAAATCTCCAGTTGAACATGTCACAATTACCTGATGTTGAACTAAAAGACTGGATACAACATTAAAATACAGTATCTGCTTTGGATTTGCAATGTGTTACAGTCTATTGAAACACTAATATGTTTAATATTTGCAGCTCTAAACACTTTCTTTTCCTTCAGAAATCTGATGCCTTTGAACAGTGTAGATGCCATGGCTTGCACTGTAAACACGATTTTTATATATATATGTGTGTGTATGTATAACATATGTACAATATACATACACAGAAAGACATGCACACCCTAAAAGAGCCAACTACATTGAAAACTTAATAAGGAGCACACCTTACTTCTTAAGATGACGCACAAAACAGTGCCAGGACAGAAGGAAACTGGCTTCTCTGATGTCATACTTTTCAATAAATTTCCAGGATGTCTAACAAACACTTTAAAGAACCCAAATCTGCTAACACTGATAAGAGTCTCTCATAGAAGATGATGAAAAAGACGTACAGCTTCGATGTCATTCAGTCATGATCTGGGGCATTTATAGGCACGTTGTGACAAGCGGCAGCAATAATAAGTTGAGTAAAAAGGAAGACCACTGACAGATTTTTCTAAACAAAGGAAACATGCAAATTCATCACGAGACACTCAAGTCTACGCTTTTTGTTTGTCGTTGTTTTTTTTTTAAATTAATCGGTACAGGTGAAATATCCTTTAAATACACTTTAAAACATGCTACTTTATAGAATCATGCAAAGTACATGCTTTGTGTTGTTGTTTTCCCACAACTGCATGCACTTAACGCGGTTACACGCTACTCTGGTAGGCCTACTGTGACATGGAAACTGGTGGAGGAGGTTGGACAGTTATTCAGAGACGTGAAGATGGCAGCGTGGACTTTCACCGGACATGGAAAGAGTACAAGATGGTAAGCAATGTTTTCTGAAGCCTTAATATTAGTTATTATTATCTGAAATCCAATATTGTAAAGTTACATTAATAGCGTCCTTAGAATGTAAGCAGGTTTTAAAAGTTGCCTTTGCCCTTAGATGTTCATTTAGAAAATGTCAGAGGACTATGAGTTGTTTGCCTGAGGCAGACTTGCAAGCGTGATGTTTGTTTTTAAAGAGAAACCTCACTTCTCTTTAATCAACTATTCCATGATATGCCCACATTTTTTGAGTTATTTATATTTGTGTTTCCAGTGGCAACAGTAGAAACTGCTCCAGATCTACTAAGTAATATTGATTCACTTTTTCAGATTCCTGAGATTGTCTTTGCTGAAATTAACTTTTTGAGATATGACAGATCTATAACCCTCACAGACAGTAAAATTCTTAGTTGACAGACTGAAAACTATTAAACTCAAAAACTGATAAAGTGATCATTTTCATCTGAAAGAAAAACAAAGCTATTAAAATATACAACTTGAATTACAGGGATTTGGTGATCCTGCTGGGGAGTACTGGCTGGGAAATGAGTTCGTATCTCAACTGACTAATCAGAAGCGTTACGTTCTTAAAATACACCTGAAAGATTGGGAAGGAAATGAGGCATATTCATTGTATGACCACTTCTCCCTAGCAAGTGAAGAACAAAAATACAGGTAAGCAGACAAATGAGATCTGAATAAAAAAAAGATCTGATAATAATCATTCTAGACTGTGTAGATGCATGACATTATTGCATACAAATCATGATGTTTTTTCAGTTCACTCAGAAAATAGTGTTTGCTCCATTTCTCAACTATTGCCCAAACCAATCTTCTTCTTTTTTTCCCCCAATGGTGAGAATGTGTATTTTACTAGTGCACAGTGGGTGAATATAACACATAAGATGCACAGAGATGAAGAGGTAGTGGTACAGTATAAGATAGGATACCTGTGCCAACATAGCAGATGGCAGTGCCCAGTCCTCAGGGCAACAGAAACCTGCCCGCAGTTGCTGTCAAATCCCAATTCCCTGCAATAAATACACTTCTGGAAGGCAGATGACTGATATGAATAATAAAGCGAGGAGATTTTCCACTTGTGCTGACAAGTAGTAGGACTTGTTCTGTTGTCATGAAGAGCACACTAAGGTAATGCTACCTTCTCCTTTTGTGATCCACTGGCTTGGATTTTCAGTGAATAACTCTCCTACCTGTGAAAATTAAGCTAACAGTGTATGTCCAGTCTCACCCTGAACAAACTTGCCAATTTAAACACCAGGGTTTAACAGATCTATTATTTATGCTCCCATCATTCTGTAAAATTTAAAGCTTCACGATTTCTTCTTACATATTTGGTTACAATACAAAATAATATGCATTTAAAATAAATACTCCATATATATATAAAAATAAATATGATCATAGTATTATGTATTTTAAATAGTATCTTAGTATTATACATTTTGAAATAGTATCAGCCACAGCTGAAATATGTGGGCAGTTCATACTTCATTCTCCAGGTTCTCTGTAAATGTAGCTGTTACTCAGATTGGTTATAGAAGAAACTAGAAACTCTACAGTATAACATGCTTTCCTACTACATAGTGCAAGAAACGTTTCTTTATAAGAATCTTGCAGATTCATAGAGCTCTATGTGACTGGACAGAAAAATTGCCTAAGTTTAGATGAACTTATCCTACGTTTCTAGCAACTATTTATTGTAAAGAAAATCAATTTGACGCTTCAGGGGCCTGATGCTCTTATTTCAACTCAAGTCTTATATGTAAGATCGCTTATATGTAAAGCGATCAGAAACTATCAGGATCTCCCTCTACCCCACCAAGCATTAGGTCTTAATGCCTTATTAGTATACAGTTGTCTCAACTCCAAAGCAAATATTTTTTCATCTGGAAACAGTCAGAATCTACAGCAGAGATTTTTTTTAAGTCATGCTTTAAAATACTTATAAAGGCAACCTTTGCAAAATGGGTTATTACTCTTATCCATTTACAATATTAAAAACCAATTACTGAAAACTAAAATGGTTGTCTGTAAATAGATACTTTGTTTCGATGTGCAACCAAACATGGAATGCATGCAGTGATTTAAAGGAGACTTTTAACATTATGGAAAAAAAAGTAACACAAGAAAGTATTAATTTAAGAGCATCTTGCATTACGTTAAAAGCCTTAATACATTCTGAGGACTGGAAAGATCATGAGTCAGGCCATAAAAGTGAAATTTCATATATTCATAGAAAATTGAGATCAGAATGCACTTTGTTTGAGTCACACTTCCTGATCTCAAAGCTATGCAATCAGACCAGCTTGCTCAAGACTTTATCTGGTAGGGTACTGAAGGTTCACAACCTGTTCCACTGCTTGTCTCTCCTCGTGGCAAAAAAGGTTTTCCTGATACTCAGTAGAACCTTTCATTTCAATTTACAACCACTGCCTCTTACACTAAGCTGTGTTTTAAAAAGTTGAATAATAATAAATGAATAACAGTCTGCTTACATTAGACTTCAAAAGATATTTGAAAATCAAGCCTAGGCTCATACATTACTCTTGGAATCTTTAATACCATTGGCTTACAGAATTTTGAACTCACCTTAAGAAAAGAACTGAATATTTTAATATTTTAATATTTGAAAGAGATTTTTATGATCTTTTGAATTCTTGGTATTTTCAAATAGGGAACATAAAATGGGTTAAAAAAAATTGTTTAACTACCAAAGACAATTTCTACCACAACCAGAGAATTACACCCAAAATGAAGTCTGATCTGAGCACAAGTTAATCGACAGAGTCAGATCTCTCCCTTAAACAAATAGAATACCTCTGAGAAGGATGAGCTATTTGATACAGAAATGCAGTCACCAAAGAGATGCTGTGGGAGCAGAGCATTCAAGTGTAAGCACCTCCCCAGTTTGATGCCCTGTATCTCTCCCCATTGAGACTGCATCTGCACCTGTGTAAGCAGATCCAAACAGTAGCAGCCTCACAGAAAGCTTACCTTGCCAGGGAATTGAAACAAACTTCAATACTTGTGGTGACTTAATGCTAATAAACCTATGTGAAAAGGAAGAGTAATTGGGGAAGTGGAAAGGGAACTACTGAGAAACTGCTAAAATATCAGTTACTAATTGGTAATCAGTAGCCTAGGTAATGCAATTATCTCTCATAGATGCAAAGTTGTAATGATACATTGCCATGTTTTATTAACAGCAAAACAGAAATCAAAAAAAGTTTTGCTTTTTGACCTTCATGAAAAAATAATTGCATACACTGTATGTACAATACTAAGAAATGCATGATCTATATGAAAAATACCAGGAGTTATCATCTACCTGCCCTCATTTTCTTCTAATAGTACATAAACAAAACAGTCATCTCTATGGATGCGGAGGCTGTTCGTTAGAATATTGTGCTGACCACTTCCGCTCATATGAAAACATTATGCTGCAAAACAGCTTACAACAGTACATTGGCCAGAGGAGAACTCAACTATCTGAAGAGGGTATTTATTGCAAACTATTCCATCCTTATTTTGCAGTTACCATTAACTTCCATGTAATAATTGTTTTTCCATTCCTCACTTCTACAGGATCTACCTTAAAGGACTTACTGGGACAGCAGGCAAAATAAGTAGTATAAGCCAACCAGGAAATGATTTTAGCACAAAGGATGCAGACAATGACAAATGTATTTGCAAATGTTCACAAATGCTAACAGGAGGTAGGAATGTTTTTTTGTTTCTCAGTCTTCCTATTTTTATTGGCACTGAAATTGTCTACGAGATAAATAGTGATAATTTTGACTTAGTAAATTTTGACTATTGCAGAAGTCCAAAACTTACAGATAGTACTGTGACTCCAAATGAAGTACTTCATGATTTGCCAAAGGTTAGTTGAAGTAAAACAAGAGAAGTTAAAACTAGAGGGAAAAAAAGTCTCTAAAGCTGGGGTACAAGAAAGTCTGCAATTGTGGAACTAATCAGAAAGACTGCAGATTCTTCTAAGGAATGAGATAATGTTCAGAGATCTAAATGCTTAACTCCCCCTAAAATAACTGATTTAGAGATTCAGTTTGTCAGTGCAATGGCTCATTATTCTTTAGGCACAAACTCCTTCCCTAACCATTCAGGGGAGAAGAAAACCCCCCAGAGCTGCTGTATACTGTACATGCCACAGAAGGGCATTTCCTCATAGGAAAATTCAAGAAACCTGGGATAGATGATTGGACTGTGAGGTGGAGTGTTAATTGGCTCAACAATACAGTTCAGCAGCACAGAGTCAAGCTGGAGGTCTGTGACTGGCGATGTTCCCCAGGGATCAGTGCTGGGTCGTTTTGTTCAATATCTTCATCAACAACCTGGACGAGGGAATAGAATATACCCTCAGCAAGTTTGCTGGTGATACAAAACTGGGAGGGGTGGCTGACACACATGAAGGCTGTGCTGCCATCCAATGAGGTCTGGACAGGCTGAAGAGCTGGGCAAAGGGGAACCTCATGAAGTTCAGTAAGGACAAGTGTGGAGTCCTGCATCTGGGGAGGAATAACACCAGGCACCAGTAGAGATTAGGGCAAGTCCTGCTGGAAAGCAGCCCCATGGAGAAAGACCTTGGAGTCCTAGTGGACAGTAAGATGTCCATGGGACAGCAATGTGATCTTGTGGCCAAGAGGGCTACTGGGATCCTGGGGTGCATTGAGAAGAGTGTGTCCAGCAGGTCTAGGGAGGTTCTCCTCCCCCTCTATTCTGCCCTCGTGAGACCTCACCTGGAATACTGTGTCCAGTTTTGGGCTTCCCAATTGAAGAGAGACAGAGACCTACTGGAGAGAGTCCAATGGAGAGCTACAAGGATGATTAAGGGACTTGAACATCTCTCCTGTGAAGAGAGACTGAGAGAACTGGGGCTGTTTAGCCCTGAAGAGAGAAGGCTGAGAGGGGATCTTATTAATGTATAGAAATGTCTGATGAGTGGTTGTCAAGAAGAAGGTGCCAGTCTCTTCACAGTGGTGCCCAGTAAAAGGACAAGGAACATAGGAAGTGCCACCTCAACACGAGGAGAAATTTCTTTACTGTGAGGGTGATGTAGCACTGGCACAGGCTGCCCAGAGAGGTTGTGGAGTCTCCATCTCTGGAGACTTTCAAAACCTGCCTGCATGTGTTCCTGTGTGGCCTGTCCCAGAGGATCCTGCTTTGGCGGGGATTTGGACTAGTTGATCTCTAGAGGTCCCTTCCAATCTCTAACATTCTATGATTCTAAGTATGTAATTCCATATTTCAATATAATTATGAAATGGAAAAAAAAATAGCACATATGATAGCTACATTTTTTTAATGAACATCCACTAGTTACTGGAGTTTTAGGTGGTATTTTTATGTTGAACGGCACAAGCCATTGTCAATGTAGAATTCCACATTTTGAAATGTAAACAATTGCTTAGTCAATTTGACTTCTCTTCCTGTTATCTCCTAAGCAACGGTTCTTTTTCAGCACAAGTTACAAAAGACAGCTTCAGTTTATTCAAAAGGATAATTGGATTACTGCCCTGCAAAACAGAACACACACACATTATCACCAGCATAACAGAAGTATAAAAATATTATCTTATTAATAAAAATAAATTTTCCTTATGACCCATTAACAGGTCAAGACCATAAGAACAGGACATAAGTTTGGGCTGCCTTTTTCTCCTTTTCCTTCTTACCAAGTGTCAGCACAGAGGTTTTGAAGTGATCTGCACAGAGAACTGAAACAGATAACTGAATTAATCCTCTAAAATGAAGAAAGGAGTTCAAATCTGTGAAGAACAGGAATTTACTAAAGAGCAGATAAAACCCAAAGACAACTCAATATCATTATAGTTCAAGTCAAGTTCTGCCCTCAGACTGTCAACAATAATGTTTGATATCAATAATAAATTAAGCATTATTGAACATCTTCCTTATTATATTAGCTTGAAGTATTACATAAGCTTCAAGAATATGTAGTTTATACACAAATACATTTATTTTCTGAGTTTGAGGCAAGTATTTCATACTGACATTTACAAATCCTAAGAATGAAAACTGGATTTAGCTTTCTTTCTCATTTCAGGACAACAAAGTGTCCTCATATACTATTTTGAAAATTACCTCTGCTGATTTTTTTCTTTGTTTCCTGTCTTGCAGGATGGTGGTTTGATGCATGTGGTCCTTCTAACCTCAATGGAATGTATTATCCATTACGACAGAACAACAACAAGTTCAATGGTATCAAGTGGTACTACTGGAAAGGCTCGGGATACTCACTCAAAGCCACGACTATGATGATTCGACCAGCAGATTTCTAAATGCTTCTGCATTATGTGAATTATGTATTATACAGTCTTCAAAGACTTCATTTGCCGAGCATATAATAAACACACATCTGCAACTTGTCTCGTTTTCAAGCCCAGAAAACACGCGCTGAAGGGATTGGTTCAGTACAATTCCTGAATTGCAATAGCCTTGACCAGCTAAAGCCCACGTTATTCAACCAGACACAAAGTCTAAAGCGTTGACCTGATAACACAGTGATTTGGCCAAACGACTGAATAAAAAGAACATCGAAGAAACTGTCAGACAACTTAAGGATTGTGTTTTAGTGATCATTTCTTTTATGTATGTGTTAGTAAATAACTGGAACTGTGAAAAATATCTAAAATAGTTTTAGAAATATGCATTTTGCCTCATCACTGAACTTTAAATATTACTCTAATATAAAACACTTAACTAGATCTAGAACTATTTATCTCTGTGTCATGTTTGCCTTTTATGTACATAAAAAAAATACTGTCATGTAATTAGCTCAATACTGCGGTTAAATAATACATTCTTTCCCCCCATAGTCTCCTAAACAACTTCTTATACTTATTCAGGAATTTTTGCCAATAGTCTGTATTATTGTATTTAACAGAGGACGAATAGCATATAAGTACTTGGCATTTATTCTTGGGGCATAGTGTGTACAAACCTCACAATTTCTTTCATTTAGTACTTATTACAGTCACTATCTTTAAGTTACAAAAATCCCTGCAAATTACAATATAGTATGTATTTCTTTATATTTTTATGAAGAGTGCACTTTTTTTTTCTTTCCTTGTCATTTACCTGTAAAATAACTGATCAGTATTATATAAACTGAGACAACGGCATTAACACCAGATGTCTGTTTGTCTATGACAATCAGTTATCACCTGGTGATATCACATATATATGTTTTGTAAAAATAACCTAACTGAAAAACATATGCATGTGCTTTGATACAATTAAATTTTTGCTCATGACTTAAAATACAAATTACTACATTTTAAAAACAGGAAAAACAAATTCTGAAAGTTATCTAAGGTCATACTGTTGGTTTTTTTTCAGTAAGATTAAGACTTCTCCCTAGAAATTCTCCATAGGTAGGCCCTCGGTGTATGCCAAAATGTGAATAAATTATTCTACTGGGTGATTTTCGCTTTTAAAAATTTTATTACTGTATGCTTTAAAATTGTATACCATACACCACAGTTCAGACTGAGAAGATATTTCTTCATGAATCACACAGAATAATTTTGTGGAGACTGTTCCTCAAATTTAATTTTAATTCTCATGCTTAGTCTTCACTTTAAAGTAAACTTGTACACTTTTAATTTCAGCAGATGACTGCATTAGTTACAAGGCAAGAACATATATCAAAACTAAAACACCAGATGCAACATTTCTGGAGGCTTACTTAGTAGTAGTTGATTGTGTTGATTACAGCCGCCTGAACACGAGCCAGCAGTGTGCCCAGGTGGCCAAGAAGGCCAAGGGCATCCTGGTCTGGATCAGGAATGGTGTTGTCAGCAGGAGCACAGAGGTGATCATGCCCCTGTCCTCGGCCTTGGTGAGACTACAGCTTGAGTACTGCATCCAGTTTGGGGCCCCTCACTACAAAAGGGACATTGAGGTGCTGGAGTGGGTACAGAGGTGGGCTACCAAGCTGGTAAAGGATTTGGAGCGTGTGTCATACAAGGAACTGGGGGAACTGAGGGATGTGGGGCTGTTTAACCTGGAGGAGACTGAGGGGAGACCTTCTCACTTTCTACAACTACCTGAAAGGAGGTTGTAGTGAGGTGGGGGCTGGGCTGTTCTCCCTAGTGGTGAGCGATAGGACAAGGGGAAATGGCCTGAAGTTGCACCAGGGGAGGTTCAGGTTAGATATTAGGAAGAATTTCTTTACTGAGAGGGTTGTCAGGCATTGGAACAGGCTGCCCAGGGAGGTGGCTGAGTCTCCATCCCTGGAGGTGTTTAAGAGATGGGTAGATGTTGGGCTGAGGCACATGGTTTAGTGGTGTTGATAGGGATAGGACTAAGGTTGGACTCGATGATTTTAAAGGTCTCTTCCAACCGAAACTGATCTATGAAACTGTTCTATAAAATGTATTATATCTTAAAAACAGTAAATGATTCTTAGAAAGATGGAACAAATTCTTCATTTTATTCTATCAGTCATTAAAGCTGCTGTCAGATATACTGCTAGACACACAAAAAATACTTCACATAAAAAATACTTCTAATCTCATTTTAAATAAACCTAACAGATGCAAATTAACAGTCAACACATGAAGAGTTGCATAAAGTAATCTCAATGTATTTAAGATTACTGTTTTACACTTTATTGTTTCTGCTAGCAAACTTCTAAGGATACACATGCGCCAAACTAAAAAAAAAAAAAACAAAAAACCTTCACGAAATTGCTTTCATGAATATGTGTAGAAATGTCCTAAAGAGCAAGTTAGCACACAACCACCAAGCTGGTAAAGGAACTAGACATACCAAGAAGGACAGGACATACCAAGAGAAGCACACAGAGCTGGCCTTTTTCAGCCTGGAGAAGGGGAAGGGGAGACCTTATTGCTGTCTATAGTTGCCTGGTAGAGGACATGGAGACGACAGAGCTAGACCCTTCTTGGAGGTGATGGGACAAGGCGCAGGGACAAGAGGAAGCACACACAAGTTGGAGTTGGGGAAAGGGGATTTTCTTCTTAGCTTATTCATTTATTACCATGAGGGTGGCCTGGATAGGCCCCTTGGAGTAGAACATTTTACTAGACAACCTTTAGAGGTCCCTACTAATCTAAAATACTTTATGATTCTACAAAATCTATCAGAAATGCTCAATTTAAATTATGGCATTTCCTGCTTCACTGCATTCATTTGAGCAACCCGGTCTAGTGGGAGGTCTCCCTGCCCATAGCAGGAGGGTTGGAACCAGGGGATCTTAAAGGTTTCTTGCAACGCAAACCATTCTATAATTCTCTAATTTCGTCACAAAACTAAAGAAATACTTCTAATATTTGTGACTGAAAATAGTGCCAAGTTCTGGTGGACATTAACCTTAGTTACTTTAGTAAGAAAAATCTATACAACGATGTAGTGGTTTGTAATTAAATACTGCATGGCTAGTTTTGATTTGCTGGAAAAAAGTCTTTATATAGCTTGAGGCTCTCTGACGATTATTCTGGGAAATTGATCAAAGATATTGATGTAGACATTGGACAGAACAATTTAGTGAGACAACTTTTTTGGGGGAGGGAAATGGGATAGTTTATCAATATGAATGTAAAATTTTAGAGTGAATCTGTTTTTAAATATTTTATCTGAATGATATTGCATGGCTGAAAGTGCAAACACCGAAGTGAAGTGAGAGGGGGACATTTTGGAGGAAATGCAATAATAACTAGAACGCACTTCTATTTTCTCTAAATATTTCTTAGGAAGCAGAAAGGAGATAACAAGAAAAGAAAGGGAATCTAAACACCATTCATGCTCAAATAATAATCATATCTTTAAAAACAAGACATCCGTTACAGTAAGAAAGCAGAATGACTCAAAAAGGGAATGACTGGAAAGGTGATGGAAATATTCCCTTGGACACTTTGTTCCTCTGCAAGAGGAGCACACTGCAAACAAAAGCGATTCAGGTTCTCAGCATAACCATAACGTCCCTCATTTTTATCTTCTTGCCATCTCTTAAGCCACTCTTACTTCTGCTTTAGGAATAAAAATTATAAACAGAATCTATTCC